TCAATATACAATTATGTTATGGCCAAGAATTTAAACTTCAATTCCTGTTACTTCTACATTGCTTAAATGACCAACAGGCAGGATTGTTTCACTGCCTCAAGTCATAATTAAGCAACCTTAAAAACATATCTAGTTCATATTACCCTATGTTAGTCTTGGGATATATCTTTGAGTCACAGGTGAGTTTTGTCTCAGGTATGTCTACTGTGTTTCCATTATAGAGTTGTGAATGAAAATAATTTAATACATTTGTGCCCTTTTGACCTTGAAGATATCTAAAATGCCCTTGGTACTGGGTCAAGACTCATCTCTGGACACAAGCTACCTTTCTATCAGTTATGAGCCTAAGATTGTTTTCTTGGTTACAAAGTCATGTTCAAATAAGAATTTAATTCTCTTATTCCTCTTTTTAAAAGTTTGACAAATCAGTCTGTAAATTCCTGTTACCAGTTAGTTCATATGTAATTACAAAGTGTAGGGAAAAACAAGATGTGTTTGTGAAACACTGATGCCCCCGTATGGCAGCTTATGGTGAAGGTTAAACTTTCTCAAATGCAAGTCAAACTGCAAAGTCGAGAGATCAAAAATGCCCAAGCACAACCATTCAAAAGTTATGGTCAAGGTTAATGTTTTCTAAAAGTGGGCCAAACTCCAAGGTCAAGGTCAAAGGGTCAAAATTAATGGTATTCAGGGGGAAGACCTTGTCATAAGAAATATACATGCAGAATATAAAAGCCCTAGCACCAACAGTTCAGAAGTTATGGTCAAGGTTAAAGTTTTTCAAAAGTAGGTCAAACTCAAAGGGCAAGGTCAAAATTGTTGATATCCAAAGGAAGGTCTTGTCACAAGGAATACACCTGTGAAATTTGAAAGCCCTAGTACTAACTATTTAAAAGTTATGGCCAAGGTTAAAGTTTTTAAAAGTGGGTCAAAAGTTATGGCCAAGGTTAAAGTTTTTTAAAAGTGGGTCAAACTCTAAGGTCAAGGTCAAAAAGTCAAAAATATTTACACCCAAGGAAAGGTCTTGTCAGGTGCCCTAGCACCAACTGTTCAAAAGTCATGGCCAAGGTTAAAGTTGGGTAAATTTTTACAAAAGTGGGTCAAACTCCAAGGTCAAGGTCAAATAAGTTGGTACCAAAAGGAAGGTCTAGTCAATAAATACACATGTGAAATATGGACGGACGGGGCAAAAACTTATATACTCACGACTCTTCGATTACCAGGGCATTATTATAAAGTGGTTTAAAAGATAATTTCCAGACAAAACATGTCTACAGACAGACAAACAGACATGGTGATTCCAGGACACCCTTACAACTTCTTTGTAGGAGCTAGTATATAACTTCACTGTAGGGGCAAAAAAGTTTTAGCTTTTACCAATAATATATGGCCCAGTGATCTTGACTTTTGAGATAATTCAATATTTTACTACACCTACATCACTGTTTTCGTTATCCCTAAATGCTCTCCCATTGGAAAATGGTTAGTCTGCACATTTCTGTTAAAACTTGAATTTCCTTAATCTGAGACTTAAACAAAACATGAGTTGTACTAACTGGCCAAGTTCGCAATGGTTAAAATTGGCATTTAGGTGTGATTCTAGAGAATGTAATACGTACATCTGGAAAGTGCAAAAGTTTACAATAACAGACAGACAAGTTTTGACAGTAAAAAGCTTACTAAAGCTTCTGGCTTAGATGGAATAATTAAATTAAATATGTTCAGCTTAATGTCAAATTTAAATTGTCGAAAAAAAAAATCATACATGTATTTACTTACATGTACCATTGACAAATCTGTTTGCATGTATCTTCTGAGGATATAGGTACTCTGGTATTTGAAGCTGTGATGACATGCTAACTGTGCCTACAGTGAAAATTAAAAAAGTTTCAGATACTGTCAATTCAATAGCATTTGGTTAATTATCTCCTTAGTACTACTGCATTTTTATGCATTTATTCTATAAATTAGCAGAATATATTTAAGAATTAGATAAGCAGAAATAACCTGAATGCTTATGGTTCTGCTAGTCTGATTCAAATAATTCACAGGGAAAAAAATCCTGCTTTTCTGCAGCCTTATCCTGATTTTCTGCAATTATATTTTTGCTTTTCTCTGTTTGATCTTCTATTATGGCCCCACCCTACCCCAGGGGACATGGTTTGAACAAATTTGAATATACCTAACCTTACCTGAGGATGCTTCTGAATTGATATGGCTAATCATGGATTTGCAATTCTTTGGAAGAAGATTTTTATGATTTCTCCTATGTATTCTCATTTTAAACTAAATTGATCACCAATTATGGCCCCTCCCTACCCCTAAGGGACATGATTTGAACAACCTTGAATGTAAACTATCAAGGATACTTCCATATAAATATGTTTAATCACTGCTTAACTGTTCTTGAGAAGAAGATTTTTCACATGTATGCCTAACATAAAAATTTGATCACCCATTTAGGCCCTCCCAACCCCCAGGGGTAATGAATTGAACAAACTTTAATCTATACTACCTGACAATGCTTTCATATAAATATGACCAATCATGGCTTTGCTGTTCTTGAGAAGGAGATTTTTAAAGATTTTTTCTATACACTGTATATATATTTCTATGTAAAAATTTGTTCACTCATTGTGATCCCACCCTGGCCCCGGAGGTCATGGTTTAAACAAACTTGAATCTACACTACTTAAGGATGCTTCTTCATAAAAATCACCAATCATGGCTTAACTGTTCCTGAAAAGAAGAAATTTTAAAGATTTTTCGTTTTCCTATGTAAAACTTTGATCACCCACTGTGGCCCCACCCTATCCCAAGGGGTCATGATTTGAACAAACTTGAATCTACATTATGTCAGAAAGCTTTCACATTTCACATAAGTTTCATCTTTCTGACCCAGTGGTTCTTGAGAAGAAGATTCTTAAATATCCACACCCAATTTATACTATTTCTTACTTATCTCCCCTTGAATATCCACACCCAATTTATACTATTTCTTACTTATCTCCCCTTGGAAAGAGGGTATGGCCCTTCATTTGAACAAATTTGAAACCCCTTTACCATAGAGGATACTCTGTATTAAGTTTGGTTGAAATTGGCCCAGTGGTGGAGAAGAAGATGAAAATGTGAAAAGTTTATGACAACAATGACAGACGATGGACAAATTTTGATCAGAGAAGCTCCCTTGAGCCTTTGGCTCAGGTGAGCTTAAAACCAATCATGGAAAAGCAGCATGGAGTAGTCGCAGAAAAGCAGACAGGTTGCAAAAATAAGATGGGGGGAAAAGTATGTCAGCCACTTGATCATAAATAACAACATTAGTTATATATATTGATGTATACCTTTGCAATAAATATTTTATTCTAGATATTTTTTACCTGTTTGCATGCAACATATATGTATAATCTTTGAGAAGCTATCAGTGTGGTATAGTGGGGGACCATCTGCTCATTTTCTAGCAAATACCTGCAAGTTAAGAATACAACATTTTAGTAAATATTTCTCAAACATGTCATTACTAAACACAGAATATACAGTACAACTCATTTACAGGGAAGTTACTCGGATTTGCTTTCTTATAATTAAGCTTCTTTATATATCTGCATGTATTTTGGAATCCATTACAGTTTAATTCCTAAAACAACTGAGATTTACCTCTTTTTATGAGAACTGAGTTCTGTTGTATTTTCAATTTAAAATGTATAGATATGTTTACAGTGGCATTAGTGCTCCTAAATAAATACTTTTTATCTCTAGCTCAATCAGAAACCAATTGATTTATTAGCTATATTACATTACTGCTTTTATTAATATTGCAAACAGAGCGTCAAACTTCAAACTCGATGAATTATAAACATTTTTTATATCCATCCCCATTTATAATTAACCTCCTAGTGTTTTTAAAACACTGAATTTATCACAGCACACCCCTATGCCTGCCCTGGTGGCAAAAAGATCAAAGAAAACATTATTCTTTTCACTCTTTAAGTCTTGACCTTTTGGTTAAGTGATTATAGTGGATTGTACCACATAGGAAGAAAAAAAAAAGACCCCACAAAGGGACACAACTCATTTACTATTTGCAAACTAGTGAACATGAACTACAGTGTATCTAAACAGATGTGCCCCCCACTGTGCATGTCATTAGTACATTGTAGTAATTATATAAATATCATGGTTCTATAGAGAGAGAGAGTAACCTCTTTGTGATTATACATGTACATTTACAAACTAATGTTTTGATTGGTGGTGATGGGTGAATGTGAGGTGTAAAGCAGAGTTTGGAGAGGAAGAAATAGGGAAGGTCAGAGTCAGACAGAGGAATATAATGGAAATTCAAAATAGTAGAGTTGAAGGGATGGGAGCTAGGAGAAGGATAAATTAAAGACCCACCCCACTTTTTTCCAGGCCACCCTTCCATTATGTATCTATTTTTAGAACAAAATGATTGACTTACAGTCTGATTAAAAAATAAATTAGGTATATCCTAATACACATGTATAACTTTACAGTGCTGTATATTGCTTGGTGAGGTTTACACCGGACCCAGGTGCAACAGGCAAAGAGTGCCTGTGCCAGGTCCTTCTTATTTCAACATATCTATTTATTAAGCTGTCAGCATACATGTATATTGCCAATAAATTATATTACATTCATCTGGTGATAAAGGAGATAAAAATATGACAAACTTACAGAAAATATGCAGTTGAATTTACTCTGCTCTTTCTTGTCTGCTTTCTCAGCCGCATCATGACGTAATATGTGACGTACGGCATTCCATAAAAAAACTACTTTTGGTTTCGTAAAATAAGTGTATAACCCCGTAGTCATCAAAGTTCCGACTTCGACGCGGAAATAAATTTTCAAAATAAAGATTTAAAGGACAAAAATTATAGTTATTTAGATATTTCCCGATTCTGTGATGAATACGAAAAGGACTGGCAGATTTAGCCAGGTTCTACTTGCACTTCCTGTTACAGAAAAAAAAACGAGTCAGTCGAGTGTACCCTCCTGTGGCTTGTTCCAGAGTTTCCTTTGGGATTTATGTGCTCTAATCCCTTGAAACGACGGTGAATATGTATGTACTGTTAATTGTTTGTCAAATTTTGTGTTTAAAATGTAGATTCTTATTGTTATTCATTTTGCAACGAAAATTTTCAGAGTAAATTCGGATCTCGTTTTCGTTTCAGGTTCAACAGTTCAACGTAACACGGCCAGGTGAATCGAATGGTTCCGTTTCATCGAAGTCATAATGAAGTTATGCATTTTTTATGCTAAGCGACATTTATTTGAAGGCTTTACTAAATTTTGAGTAAGTAATTAACATTAAAAGTGATTTTTAATTGTGTATATTGTTCTGACACATGTGCAAGACTTGTAAACGCGACTTTTACAGTGTATCACACAAAATATTTTAGGACGCAGGTCCCACAAAAGATCCAATTTTCTTGGGGATTAATCTCAGAAATGTGAGGGTTATTAATGAAAAAATTCCTTGTCAAAATTAAACTGTTGCATTTGATATATTCTAATTATTTTATGCAGATTAAAAAACCCATCTTTTCAGCATTATAATGTCTGTAAAACTCATAAATCCAATTGGAATATCATAACTAAAATGGACTATTATATCTAATTTGGACAATAGGTTCCAATAACAACCTTATACAGTGTTTTCCCTTTATTTCAAAGTAAAGCATTAGAGATCAATTGTATCTGGCTTTGGGTTGATGTTTATGACAAATCTCTGTGGACCTTACAATTAAATTTTATTTATTTTTTTTTTTTAATTATTTCAAAGCGGCATTTTTATCAATTGAAGTGACTAATTTGGCCGGTAGCTGGTTCTTAGGGAAATCACTACTTATATAGAGAGTTGCATGGTCAATAACATGTTCTGATGTCTGACATATGCCTCTATTGTGCAGTTATTAATGTACAAAACACAGGGTCTTCTGTTTTGCCCAAAACATGAAATACCAGTGCAGTTTAACATAAACAAGTTGACAAACCATGGACCTTTCAGGTGATAACATGGAATTTATTGTATGTAATGACAGATCCTATTCAGTAATTATAGGAGTTAGCCCCTTTGACTGAAACAATTGGAATATCAGTATGGGTAGTTAATAAAGATTTTTATGATTTAATTTCTTTGTAGGAAATGCTTGTCAGGACAAAAGACTGAAAAAGACTGAAAAACTGCCTTTAAACACAGCCATCATTAATGTAAATGGATTCCTAAGGAGCATCCAAACAATATGTTATTAGGATCATCAGAGACTGGCAATTTTTTACCACTCACTGTGATAGATGCATCTAAATAAACATTGAAATGTTAAATTTTTTTGTTCATTGCTTTTCCTCATATGGTATTAATATTGCATAATATTCTTGTGAATATCGCACGATTTTCACACGAAAAACAGACAAAGTGGAATTCGCATGGATATCATGCGAAATTTTAGTCGCATGAAAATCGCATGAATTTCGCATGAAATTTGTGTGATAACATTCGCATGAAATTCGCATGTGGGACTTTTCGCATGATTTTTGTATGATTTTCGCATAAATTTCGTGCGAAAAGGCAAACGCATGAAAATCATGCGAGCCACTTTTCCCTGTGTATCACACTGCATGAAGATTTCAATTTATTTGAATTCAAATTAAGGGCAGATCAGATCTAACTGCAGAAAAATACCATAGAATCAGAACTCTTTAGTGCAGTGTAGAGAGGGTTCTTTGTCAACAACATCTGTTTAGTCATAATTCGTTGTAAGAGGGCCAATATGCACAAAAATGAAAAGAGGCATAGTATCAACAATCCTTAGATATTAAAAATAGTATCAGTAGCTTCGATAGGAAGTTCTTTTACAGAGAATTGCATGTTTTTTGTTGATTTATAGATTGCGACGCCACTGCATGGTGTAAACTGATATCTGATTTAAGACCATGACCTAATTCACTCTCAACCTTCAGCATTTAAACATCGAAAAAGATTTTCGCATCAATCATTATGAAAATCGATGTAATCTGTGTATAGTAGGCGTTTTTGAAAGCAGACAATTTAACAACAGGAGCTGCACGGTAAACTTTTGGACTATTATTAATGCAGATTGGTAGAATATTTATTATAGTCTCACTGTTATGTATTAACTATTCGATGATAAACAAAAAGTTTTTAAAAATTGTTTTATTGTTTTGAAAGGTCTCCGAATAATACACTAATAGGCTACATTATTGTTAAGTACATTAAAATTATTGGCATTTAATTTAATTTCATTGTATGTAATCTTTAAATCATAATTACAGTTTATAAAAGTTTAACTTTTATGTAGAATATGAATATATACTTGTTATAAAGTATTACAATAGAAAAGATAAAAAGCTTGATTTCAACTTGTATTTTCAAATGAAAAAAAAATAATATATGCAAAAATTTCCAGTCCTGTACAAATCTCTGAGAAAGGAAGTTTGATATTCAGTCTGGAAAAAAATTTCAAATCTTCCGCTTTCAAGGGGAATGATTTCAAAGGTATATCCAAATATTTCACTTTCATATATAAAAAAAAAATTCTGGTAATGTGTTATCAATTGCTCGAATGTTTATATATATATATAGAGAGAGAGATCGAGAGATCGTGAAATCTTTCATTAATTGATATCGAAATGGTTTGATACATGAACTAATGACAATTTAATTATCACACCTGGATTATTTAATCGAAGATTCGGGGGATTATAGTTTTTGCTCTGTCCGTCCGTCTACCTGTTGGACCACAAAAACTTTAATCTTGTCCATAATTTTTGATTGGATGGAGCTATGACTTTCATATTTCACATGTGTATTCCTTCTGACAAGACCTTTCTTGAGTACCAACGTATTTGACCTCTTTACCTTGACCTTAGAGTTTGACCCACTTTTGCAAAATTTTACCAAACTTTAACCTTGGTCATAACTTTTGAAGGGTTGGTGCTTGGGCTTTCATGCTTCACATGTGTATTCCTTTTGATAAGACCTTTTCTTGGGTACAAGATTATTTTTGACTTTGGAGTTTGACCTATTTTTGAAAAACTTTAACCTTGTTGGTCCCTTCTGACATGACCTCCCCTTGGGTACCAACAAATTTGACCCTTTGATCTCGACTTTGGAGTTTGAACTACTTTTAAAAAAATAACTTTGACCAAACCTTTTGAACGGTTGGTACTAGGGCTTTTACATTTCGAATTGTGACAAGACCTTTCTCTGGGTACCAATTATTTTGATCCTTTGACCTTGACCAGTACCAACCATTCAAAACGTGTGGTCAAGATTAAAGTTTATCAAAAGTAGGTTAAACTCCAACGTCGAGGTCAAAGGGTCAAAATTGTTGGTACCCAAGGAAAGGTCATCTCGTAGGGGCCACCAAATGGGTCAAAGTCCAACGTCAAAAATATTTGTACCCCAAAAAAGGTCTTATCACAAGGAATACACATGTGAAGTATGAAAGTCCATGGAGTTTGACCTACTTTTAAAAACTTTAACCTTTGCCACAACTTTTGAACGGTTAGTGCTAGGACTTTCATATTTCACAGGTGTATTTCTTGTGACAAGACCTTCCATTGGGTACCAACAAATTGGACCCTTTGATCTTGGAGTTTGACCTACTTTTGAAAACTTTAACCTTGACTATAAATTTTGAACGGTTGGTGCTAAGCCTTTCATATTTCACAGGTGTATTCCTTGTGACAAGACCTTCCCTTTTGGATACCAGCATTTTTGATCTCTTGACCATGACCTTGGAGTTTGACTTGCATTTGAAAAACTTTAACCTTCGCCATAAGCTGCCCAAACGGGGGCATCAGCGTTTCACAAACATATTTTTTTTAAAAATTGTTGATATCTGACAGACAAATTAAACAAAAAAAAAAACACAATTAATGTAAAACGTCTGGGATTCCCCAAGAAAATTTTGAAAAATTATTTTTCCAACTAACACACAATAAACAATATGGAATAACTTTAAACATTGAATTTTTCACAGCCATGAAATTGTTGTTCCTCTTTGTGGTATTATGTGTGAATTATACCTGGTCTTACAATGTAACGTTAGAAGGAAATGAAACTGGAAGATTGTAAGTGCAATAATCTATTTTTTAAAAGATGTTATAAACCGATATAAGAATTACTGATCTACTTAACAACTGATCTTGGTTTAGTAAGTGTCTCTGTTCTGCGTTATTTAGTGTTGATTGCTGTAGTGTAGTAACTTGTTTCTGTAAGTTATTGCTGGCCCGTAGAACGCGGGGGCCAGGGGGCCCGCCCCCCCCCCACTTTTTTTCTGAGTATAGTTTTTGCTAAAGTAAATTTTCATTTAGATGCTGGTTGCCCTCTCCTCCACCTTTTGATGTTGTAATGTCGAGTGCAGGCAACTTCCAGGATTTGAACAATAAATTAATGTTTTTTATATTTATTTGTTTGTTTGTTTTGTTTTTGTTTTTTTTTTTTTGGCTTGTCAGATAATTTTGGGAAGTTGCCCCCCTCTTTCTCTTGGTCAGTGTAGTTTTTTTGTTGCTGTTATTTTTGCTTGTCATATTCTTTTGGGAAGTCCCCCCCCCCCCATTTTGAAACCGTTGCTACGGGCCTGTACTGTTTTCAACTTGTATTAATGGTCTGTGTTAATTAGGGTTGTAAATGTTACCGATTAGTTGTGTTGTTGATCTGTGATATTTAGTTTTATACTTTGTTACTCAGTGTTGTAAATGCTGCTGACCTTTTCAGTGTATTAAATATTTCTTAAGTCGTAATAACGACTTTTTATCTCGTTAATACAACTTTTTATCTCGTAATAACGACTTTTTATCTCGTTATTACGACTTTTTAATTTTTTTTTTTATTTTCTTATTTGACCCTTCTAGGCTTTTGTATGATGCTAATGTATGCAGTTTTAATTCTAAAAATGTTCAGTTCACACCTCCAATAATTGTTACAAAGAAATAACCTTCAATGTTGGTAGAATAACAACTCCAAACTATTTCAAAGCATTGAAATTCGATGTTTGGAGCATAGTCGATTTGATCGGTAACATTTGCACAAGAACTATTTTACAAATATACTCTAGGTGAATCCTAAACTTTAGATATTAACCTTAATTCAATCTTTCCTAGTTTTATTTACAGCTGGTTATACTCCAGCACACAGGCCTTTAGGTCGCTTTCATCCGACTTACAAAAATTTGAAGTGTAAAAAAAAAAAAAATATTTTTTTACACCCAAAATTTTTCGTAAGTCGGATTTAAGCGTTCCAAAGGCCTGTGCTCCAGTGCACACAAAACATAGGCGTCAGAAGGAAATTGAAAGGGGGGGGGGGGCTAATTGAAAGAGAAAAAAATTTCAAACCTAAAAAAACCTTGACAACCAAAAAAAAAAAAAAAAAAAGAAGGAAAAATAAAAATTGTCCAAACCCGAAAATCCTATTTCGTGGGGAGGGGGAGGGGGGAGAGATCGAACTTCTTTTAGTACAAATTCTTGTAAAAAAAAAAAAAAAAAAAAAAAAAAAAAAGTTTGGGGGGGGGGGGGGGAGGTTCCCGGTTCCGACGCCAATGCAAAACTGCTTATATTATTCTCTACGATACTTTCTTCTTCAATGATTTTATAAGTGTTGCCGATCGCGCGTTTACGAGGGTGTTGTAGAACAAGTAGAAGATATAACATCTAACATGATTTTGTAGAAAAATTACGGTCATCTATATACATGTAATTGTTTTACGGTCATCATCCTCCCGCTGGAGTGTGTTTGTTACGGTCATCATACTGCAATATTTCGATGGCGTTTTTCATTTCATTTTCTTTTGTTTGGGTAAAACAACAACTACTGGCGTGGAGAAAACATCTGTGTTTGCGTAATCATTATCTTAAATTACTCAGTTTTGTTGAATAATGTTTATAATCGCCGTCGAAAAATTTCAACCGATCAGGTCGGCCGACATGTTTTGATGACCGTAAACTATATTACGGTCATCGGCTTTCCTACAGTGCTATATGCAACAATTATTTGCTAGATGAAAGAATAATGTTTTAATTGTTTTAATTTTGTACAACCGGTATTTTCTCCAAGGAACACCCTACAGACACCATACAGACTACTTTAACAAGCTCTTCTAGGGTCAAACGGCTCATACGATATGGTTTATTTTTACTAATTTTTAATTAGTACAAACATAAAGAACGCAAACACAGAGAGAAAAAAATTATTCATCCAGAAAATGTGAGCATGATTTTTCAGTTTATCTATGGAATGGTTACGCTACAGTTAACATTGTACTTTTTTATCAGTCAAGTCTTTTGAATGCCTCTTTTTTTTTCACTTTGGTAACATATCTATATATATTAAATACATCATAAACAAGCTTTGGATTTTCTTTGGTGGTGCGTAAGCAATTTTGTCTGGTGTATTTACTGATCTGTGTTACTGTTATTGATCTGTGTAACTATTGATCCTTGTTACACGATATTGTAAATGTTTCTAATCTGTGTAATTTTGTTAAACGGTCTTCCTCTTATTAAACTTGATAGTCTGTTTTGGTTTTGTTTTGATTTATTAATGTACACGCATTTTTACATAAAGTGTTTATGAAGATGGCGGAGGAAACCAAAGATACTGCACGGCATGTCCGACAGGAACGAATGACGAGGTAAACAGAATGACACAAAATGAACAATGTATAAGCGAGAATTTAAGTGAAGACATGCCAAACAACGGTCCCAAACCTTTTTGTAAGGAGAATGCCATTGGTGGGATCATTCCAGGTAATGACAGCCGTGTTTATAGTTTATGTCTTGTTCATTTAAAGTTTCAATTTACCTTCTTTAAGCTAAAAGGCTGACCAAAAATTTAAAAAGTAAAAATGCTTTCTTTGGTTGCTAGTACAAGAATTAATGGCACAGCTGTTGCATAAAAAATACATAACCCGCGTAAGCGCGTTATGTAAATGTTTTCTGCACTAGCTGCGACATTAATTCTCGTACTAACAAAGAAAGACATTTTATAGTTTATATTTATTTCTGTATAAAAAAGGGAAATTAAATATGTTAAATATTGTATTATAGATGTGTACGTCATTGTATGCATGATTGATGGAAGAGCCGTTGCTAAGAAATCTAGGCAGGTGGCCTGCTTAGTTGCGTTTATTGACTGATAAACGACAATGGTTTTCATAAGAAATAAAGGAAATAATATTCAATGGATGTAAATATAGAACAATAAGATATACAAAAACAAACAAACAAACAAACAAACCAAAAAAGCAAAAAAACAAAAAAAAAACAAAACAAAACAAAACAAAAAAAACATAACAAAACAAAACAGCACAAAATCAAAAACAAAACAAACAGAAAAAAAAACCACTCACACAAACCCAAAACATACCTTTAGATCGTATAAACAACAATCGAGGTATCTTTAATTTTTCCAAATCATTATAACGAATCAAAATGGTTTGTTCCTGACACTTCGCTTATAAGCGTGTTTTGCTGCATATTAAATTATAAATAATTTTATTACTGCATTTAATTACCAAATTTTCGATAGTATGGAAAGGCAGTGATTACCGTGCTATCAGGGACTCATACTGTAAATTATTTCCATTTGTTTTTGTTTTACCTCACTTTTGAGAATTTTTCACGTACGTCGTAAAGTCAGGCTGACGTCATCTAAAGCAACACCCCAACCTTTCAGTGAAAATATCGTAGTTCGAATTTACCGATATTCCAGATTAACTAATTTAAACAGGATGTGGTCCTTTACCGGCTTCAGGTGGTTTGCCTTGGAGAACAAAGTCGGGGAGACCAGTCCAAGCCAACAGTACAGTGTACGAAGAATATGTTCTGGAATGCCCTTCAACCAGCGCAATTGGTAATGTTAGTATTCGGTGTGGGGAAAATCTTGAATGGAACAAAAATCCAGCGGGAATCAAGTGTGTATATGGTAAAGACACCTAGCCCCAAGACCATATATACTGAGAACGAACTTAAGTCAAAATTTCAAATTTGAATAACCTTTGAAATAATCAAGAAAATAAAACAATATTTTCATTGAGTGTTTGTATTTGAATATTTTACAAACCTGAACCTTTTCAAACATGGTTGTTGAATTAGAATCAAAATATTGAAAATCTAAATTCAGATTTAAGTCCGTTCTCGATTAATGGTCTTGGGACCTGATGTATCAGTCAAAGTGTATGCCAGTAACGCAAGGATTTCACTTAACAATTGAAAATTGTTATTACTTTATCACCATGTTCTCTGAAGCCTTAAATTGTCCAATTCACTATAATCACAACTTTATTTAGTTTGCACTATTGTTCAAGTAGTTATAACTTTAAAGAAAGGCCATGGTTCCTCATTTTGGAAACAGAATTAGAATCCAGTTACCATGGTGAATATGTGATTGTTATCTATCTTATTATTAATTTATTTCCCCATAATTTCTTCAAAATTACTCTGGTGTACTTAAGTAGCAAGAAAAAAGTAAAAATCTAGGAAGGACACAAACGAGAAAAGTAGAAAAACGATTTATGTTTTATATATACACGTTATATCAAGTAAAGCACGCTTATAGCGAACACGCTTATAATGAATTGACGCTTATAGCGAAGTGATTTCATTCCCCTTGGGTTTTAAACATATTGTGAACCTATGGGATATAACGAATTGTGTTTATAACGAAGAAAAATCGCCCGTTCCAGGCACTTTGTTATAATGTGTTTTACTCTCTCTCTCTCTCTCTATACATAATTATATATGTAAACAGTCTAATTATAATTTCTTGTTTTTTCTTTTTGGCAGGATGTGGGCTTCTCCCAACGGAGGGTGGATTGACCTGGTTGGAAAATGGAAGCGAGGCCGGAAATTACAGTGTGCCGGGAAATCTGTACATCCCCAAATGTCCCCTGGGACAGAGCGCAAGCGCAGCATTTTATTGTGCAGAAAATAATACGTGGACAGGAGACCCGTCATCTGCAGTTTGTACAGCAGTTGAGCTGCGTAGTGAGGGTTCGTATAATAACTGAATATACATGCGTCACTTTTTCACTTTCATCTTTTTTATGTGAAGTGTTCGTTATATGACTATTTTTCTCTTCAGTTGGACAGTGTTCCGGTAGTTGTATCATTGGTGAGTGCTTCTAGAAATATTGAATACTGGATACGGTAATGTCACCACAAAGTTTTTGTTTGTTTATATGTTTGTTTTTTATGTTTGTTTAACGTCTATTCGAGAATTTTTCACTCATATTGAGACGCCATCACTTGTCGTTGGAGGGCTGCAAATTTAGACCTGTACTCGGTACTTATACGACCTTTAAGCAGGGAGGGATCTTTTTCATGCCAGCAGCTACTGCGACACAGAACCTCGATTTATACGGTCTCATCCAAAAGACCGGTCTCCAAATTTAGACCTATACTCGGCACTCAGTTCCATTGAGCAGTGAGGGTTCTTTATCGTGCCAACGCCTACCGTTACATGGAACCTCGGTTTTAAGGTCTCATCCGAAAGCCCTGTGACTTTCACTCCTAGTGCCGGGCGCTTGGCGAAGGAACAGTCACTATCTTTGTTTACGTCTTAGGTTTGACGGGGGCGCGGCGAACGCGTATCGTAATCGGCCTCACGATCGCGAAGCGAATGCCCCACTAGGCTACCATGACCGGTCGTCGGCACTATAAAGAACCCTCACTGTTCAATGCCCCCGAGTGCCAAGTATAGGTTTAAATTTGAAGCCATTCACCGGTATATGGTGACGTCTCTATATATATGAGTGAAAAATTTTCGAATGGGACGTAAAACAACATATGTACATACAATCAATCTAACACTATTGATGATGAAATCTTTTTTTTAAAACATGTGAAAATTATAATCACCAAAGAAAAGAAATATTTCAATTAATTAAAAACAATTTTCAAAATTTTCAGCTTAAGTTATATCTCCTATTAGAGTATCAATGAACCTTAAATCAAGGTATTCAGGGGGTAGATTACAACAGAGGGATTAGAGTTTTACATGGGAATACCAGTATAGGTTAATTAAAACATCTTTGCTAGAGTTTCAAGGCAATATTAATCACTTTTAGTACAAAAACCATATCTGCTTGAACTTTCAGTAAGGCGTGACAATCTCGGCGATACATAATTAGCGTCTCTCAAATGATGACCTAGATTCTCATTGGTTAAGTTGGTTAAGAAATTCATAACTTTAGATTGTTGTTAACAAACAATGAGATGACATAAACCACACCTCTTTACTGTAAGAAACGATAAAACCGGTTCCTTGCCTCACTCGTTGACGTCTGAACCATTTTTATTCCATGTGTATTTCACCCGTGAATGAAAAGCTGTGTAAATTTCAGTGTTGATGAGCTAATCTGGCAACCAATGAGAATCTAGGTCACTATTTGAGAGACGCTAATTATGTATAGCCGAGAATATCACGCCTTACTGAAAGTTCAAGCAGAAATGGTATTTGTACTATTTTCAATTATTTCTAATAAAAGTTATCTGAATTTAATTTAATTTTTTTTAGATTATGGACCCAGGGATTACGCTGGGGCAAAAGAATTATATACGTTAAAGCCATATCCCTGCCCCCATATAAGTCAAATTTTGAAAATCCCTTGAAATATGCTTAATTGTATGTATTTTATTTAACAAATCTGAATAAACAAATCCATTATTAACGGGGGTGGGGGTGGGGGTATTGTTGGTATTTGTGTCTCTTTGACGTCACAAACCATTGAACCTTCCCATTATTTTTTTAGAAGAGAGAACATGCACGAATTTTGTTCAATTTTGACTCTCGTTTTTAAAGAGGACAAGCTTTTCCAGGAACTGTTTTCACATATTTCATTGACATCACCATGCTCCACATCATATCAAAAGAGTGGAGTCTGAGCAGACCCACGCTTGATACTTTCCGATCAAATTATCGATGTAAAATACGCTATTTTCTTTCAAAATCAGTGAAATGTTGAATTTGCGTCATTTTTGACGCCATATCCAACTTATGATGTCGAAATGAATGAAAATAATTAATGAAGTCTTTATGTATACTCCTGGCTTAGATGGTCCCATCAAAGAAGATGGGCGAACAAGGCGAGTGAAATGCCTTTGGTGCGACAAATATAAAGGTGAAATCAGATCAATTACATGAATAGCATAATTTTCTTTGATATTTCATCTAACATTAAAGTATACATTATGTAAAATCTCCAGAATTAAAAAAAATCTCACAAAGATTGAAATTATTTGCCTGTGAAATAACATACACACATCGAAGAGGGCAAAAAGGATAATTTTTTCATATTATAACAATTTTTCCATATGAGTGAGTCTTCGATCCTTTTATTTATTTATTTATTTATTTTTTGAAAGCTAAAATATACATTTCATGCGCAGATCTAGAGAGGGAAGGGTCCGGAACCCCCCCTCCCCCTCGTATTTTGCAGTTATTTGTATAGACCGAAGCAAATAAAAAAAATAGTTTTTTTAGTAGTAGAATTATTTTTGCCGATAAAATTTCCCCCAGAAAAGTTTTGCTTGCCATAAGTTAACTTCTTAAATTCCAATAATGAGAATTTTATTCTAAATGCTTAATTCTCAAACTGAATGCAATTTTTATATATGCATTCTACACGCCTTGTTCGCCCATCTCCTTTTATTTGGGGGGCAGATATTGACCATTTCCAAATAAGTCCTTTACACAATGCATATCTACAGTAAAAAAAAGATCTTTTTATTTTAATCTCTAGAACATTGCCATGTTAATCATGGAAGCATACTCATGTTTTGTGGATTCAAATGTTGTACAAGATCAAAGGGAAGAAAAAACATCTTTTAAAAAAGTCTAAATGTATAAAATATACATTTATCTCTTGAAATGATTTGTTTTAGGGATTTGCTCAGGACTGGTTGCTTTATTGCTTTTAAGCATAGTAATTGGAGTTGGAATTCATTGTACAAGAAGAAAGAAGCTACCTGTTCCTTCTGATTCACTAGAAATGAAAGTTTACACATATACAGCTGACGGTCCTACTTCACCAATGACTTGTGTAGCCACGGAAACAGTTTCATGAGAAATCACTGCTCTATAGCCATGTCATAAGGCTCACTTCTTTCCGTATATTATGCGCGGCTTAGTGCTCGCTTAACTCTAATAATCTTTTTTTTTTGTTTCCACGCACACACACACACACACACACACCCTCCCTCACACACACACAGAGTCAAATACTTGGATAATCTGAAGAGTGTATTTTGGATACCCATTAGGGCACTGACGCGTTTGCGCAAAGGGCAGTGATACACAGCAACAAACGGTTAATTTCCAGTGTTTGAAGAAGAAATCAGCTTCTGCGTGTTTGGAGTAGGTGTATTTTTTCAGAGAGGAGTTATCGAGAGAAATCACAACAATCAACAGATTTTCCACTTTGGGCGTAGAGGGATCTTTGATAGTATTACCAGACATACTAGTATGATCGACAGAGCATTTTCATCACATTAGTATGCTACATAGGGATCAAAGAAAAGAAATCTGTAATTGTATGGATATATTGACTTCACAAAAAACTTCGTGCTCGGTTGATATGCTTTTCTGTGAATTCGACAGATCCATAGATCGCACTCATGAAAGGACTATATTTGTATAATTATATAATATTATTCATATCTAGAAGGTGAAAGTGGGTAAAATAGCCTATTATCGATCCATGCCTTAGATGGAAGAACCAAGAAACAATTGACGTTTAACACGTCCTGCAACTTTTGAGTCACAGATGATATAACCAATTTAGAATTAAATCGTTGTTATTTGCAGCAGTTATAAGCAATTATAATGAGGGTTTGTTTTTTTAAAGAAATAGAGAAGATAATTTTCAAATGTACACATATGACGTTAGTTAGGTTCGTATACATGTTGAATTGTTGCATTTGCACTTTCACACATCAAGAATGTTTAAGATGCAAAAAGATACTCTTCCAAAACGTTAATTTATCTAAAAATAAATTTTATAAATTTGTTTCTTTATGTAAAGAATCCGAACTTCTTGCAAACACTTCGATACATTTTGACAGAAGACATTAACTACTCTTGGCTTGTCTACTCTGTCGTCACGAATTCGTTAAATTACCTGATTTTTCAAAATGTAAATTAAACAATACGTTTTCTTGTTAGCCTAACAGATACATGTATTCCTTTACAAGAAATGATTAAAAGATTGTTGTTGTTATTGGGAGTGGGGGTGGGTGTTAAATTATCTGTTTTCTATTGCATCTGCGGATCTAGATGGGGTCAGGAGGTCCTGACCACCTAGAATTGGCGGAGTTATAAAGTAACTAAAAATGACTTTGGACCCCCTTAGAAAGTTCAATGATAGGAAAGTCATACATACATACACATGAAGCTTAAGAAGTGAGGTGGCTCCCACCCCCACCCCTCACCCCAACAGGTTTTTCAAGTTTGGGAATGGAGTTTACGTTTCTTTCTTTTTTTTCTTTTTTGTTTGTTTGTTTGGGGGGGGGGGTTGTCAAGATATTTCTACGTTGGATTTTTATTTTTTTTTGACTGTTGCCCCCCCCCCCCCCCTGGACAAAAATCCTGGATCCGCGCCTGTAATGTATAGCACATTGCAAATTCATTGGGGGAGGGGGGTAAGAAATGGTAGACTTTCTACGATGTTCAAAAAATCTTGATATCACCCTTAAATCTAATGGGGGGAAACTTTTGTAGGACATTTTTGAGAAGCTTTGAAAGAAAAATTAACTTTTAAATTGCAGAATTTATTCATTTTACTTACATAAACATAGACTTTCTTTTATTTTCTGATGATTTTTTTTAATAAAAAAAATTATTGAAATGAAATATATACTGGGGGAGGGGGAGGGGGAAATGAAAATAAGACTTAAATTTGAGCTAAAGCAGAATTTTTTAGAAGATAACATATTGCCATGCAATGCAAAGAGAAACAACTCCAACACTAAGGGTGTTTATGCTAATTACATAATTCCATCCCTTTCAGATATTTGTTCAACCAGTTAAGAAGTATGTTTAGAGTGAAGTAGATTTACTTCAGCTAAAATGTTGATCGTGATGCAGATGCATACAAAGTAAGTACAAAGACTTTAGAAGTCTCAATTTTGAATACAGACGGTCATTGCAATCCAATCCCTAGTATTTGCGGCCATGTTTCAGCTCGTATTTTAAATAGTTCGATTCATTATATTCAGACACACTCGTAATTTTTTGATCTTTTCGAAGAAATGATAGCTGTTTAGATTTCATAAACTTGTTAATAAAAATGCTTAAAGACGTACAACACACTGGGGGAGATAACTCTTGCGATTCCAATTAAACGTTTAACGTGACGTCAAATTTGACGTTACTAATAAAGCGTCAAAATGACGAGCGATATTGAATGAAAAATGGAATTAGGGGCATGATTGTAATTTCTTCATGAGTACCAAAGTCTATCCTTGATTAACTTTTGAAAGAAACCCCTCTACCTAATTAAAAAAAAAAAGCAAAAACGAACGCTTACCCCTAAACTTCGTTATTTTCATATGTAAATCGTATCCGTGATCAAAGTATAGCATTTTTCCACATTATTTTTATGTTACATTCCATTTTTCCGGTACAATTGACTACAAAACATTCAGATTACTGGTCTATCTTATAATTATGTTTTCGCCAAATGAATATTGTTTTGATTGTTTGTTGTTTAACGTCCCTCTCGAGAATTTTTCACTCATATGGAAACGCCACCACTTGCCGGTGGAGGGCTACAAATTTTGCACTATACTCGGCACTCAGGGCCATTGAGCAGTGAGGGATCTTTTTCATGCCAGCACCTACTGCGACACGGGACCTCGGTTTATACGGTTTCATCCGAAGGACCGGTCTCCACGTCCCGCAGTGGGATTCGAACCTGCGACGTAAGGATCAACTCCTTACTCTGCGACTCTAGAGCAGACGCTCTAACCACTGCCCCCACGCGGGCGACTAATATTGTTTTGTTCTCTTTTTATATATATAACCAAACAAACAAACACAAAATTTTACAATTTAATTTTCGATACAGTTTTCAGAAGCTCACTCATCAAAGAGGAACAACTCTAAAACTGTGGGATGTTTGTTTTCCCTCCTTTAGTGGAGTTATTCCTCCTGTTTATATTTTTTTTCACGAATACACGGGTACATGGTAACTGAAGAACTGAAAAGTATACAAAGTAAGTACCGAAAGTGAAGAAAAATACTATTGTTTCCTGAATTTACCTGAATTGATGAATATCCATATAACTGTGCAGCCTTCTGTCACTGTCAATAGTGTCGGTTCGCATTTCCTCGAATCAAAACAAAATTTTTTACTACTGAACGTACACATGAATAATATTGAAATAGATGAAGAATTAACACTTTGATACATTGAAGTTAATATGGACGAATACGAAATTTCCATTTTATAGAAGCAACGGAAGGATGCAAATAATATCGGGGAAAGAGAATTCATATCCCCACACCGTTTCTACAAAAGGGCTTTCTTATTTGAAATATTAAATAGTACTATATTAGAATAATCCATTTACATCACAGGAGAGTTGATATTGCCGTAGGAACCGGGGGGGGGGGGGGGTGCCCCCCAATAATTTTGCCGATATAAAGATTACTGTAGAAAACATAGCTCCTATATGCTTGTACCCCCTCAATAAAAACGTCTGATGACCTTTTTTTGGCTTGTCAAGGAATTTTTGGTGCCCCCTCAAACTGAAAATGGATTTCTGTGTCCCCCAAACTGAAATTGCTTCCTTGTTTGCAAAAAGTGGGAGGAGGTAAATTGTGCATAAACGTTTCAGAAGTAACGAGGATTTTCCCAAAATCCGTAGACAATCTGCATACTTTTGTAGGTACCCGATAAATAAATGAAACCATAGGATACACTAATTTCAGCAACAAAAACGAATGATGACAAATGATGAGTAATTACAAAGATAGATCTAATTACAAATTAAAACTACTTTAGAAAAAATGCAATGGTTGCAACAAATCCGAAAGGCATTTTATTATTTATATTTTAATATATGTACAAATAATCGTATAAAGGAGTTAAATATTGTATTATTGATCTCTACGCCATGATATGTATGTTTCATTGATGGAAGAGCCCACTGCTTAAGAAAGCTTTCATACAGGTAGTTTTAAACGGTTCTTACTTAGCGTTAGTGGATTGATTTAGGGAAATGGTTTTTATAAGATTTAAAGGAGAAAATCTATTCAGTGGCAGTCAAAATATTTGTTGTAAAAGGGCGGTCCGTAAAAAGATGAATAATGACCCCCGAAGAGAAATGACAACCCCCCCCCCCCCCCGGCCGTAAAAAAATGTATGTTTTTGTAGAAAAAGAATCCTAGGATCAGTGTTTAACATGTACACATTATAAGAAATTGATTCCCGTTGAAAAACGACCCCTATACCAAATCTACGAAAGCCTATTAGGATCAAACTACGGTAAAAAAAAATTAAAAGGCGTTATAACGCCTTTTCAAAAGGCGTTATAACGCGAAAAAAGGCGTAATAACGCCTTTTGAAAAGGTGTTATAACGCAGAAAAAGGCGTAATTACAAAAGTTTAAAAAGAGGTGATTGATGCCAAGGGTTGGGTCTCAACGTTGAACTCAACGCTCAACTCTTGCTTTTTTTCTGACGAAAACTGGACGAACACGCGATAAAATGTAATAATAAACTTTCATGTAAATTACTTAATTTGATTCGTCGAAATGATGTGTTAAAAAAACACCGTTACCCTCTGAATGATGAAACCACGCCCTCCAGCGCGATTGAACTTAAAAAATGCTTGACGACAGGTGATACCCCCCCCCCCCCAAAAAAAAAAAAATAGTGACTGCGCGGAATCTATGCGCGCGCGCTTCACCTTTCTTGTATAAAACATTCAGTTTAATATAAAAAATACTGCATGTAGTTGAGGGTAACATTGAAAATTTTCACCCCTTGAAAACCATTGTCAACTTCACCTCGGTTGACAAGGTGTTCAATGTTACCCTCAACTACCCTAACTAACTACATGTAACTACTAACTGAACTTAATACAAACTTTTAATGGACTAAGATTCGTTGAAATAATCTGAAGACTGCATGTATTTGAGAGAGAGAGAGGAGAACGGTTTAATGTATTTGAGAGAGAGAGAGGAGAACGGTTTAGTAAATTTCAGAACTGAATACACACCGTACAGGAAAGTAAAGACATTAACAATTTTTTAAATGGTTTTCATAAGTGAAAACAAACATGGCTCTACATGAGAACGGAAACGTAAAAGTCAAAAAATGAGTATCAGGCAAGGTACTATGAAAAAAAAAAAGATTAGGGCGATGACACAAAGCTGCAGAAATTATGTACAGATTAATTTAAGGCGGGGGGGGGGAGGGTCTAGGAGGTGAAGACGAAGAGGCATGCAGAGCACGGGGAAAGCGCGCCATGGCATTAAGTTATCAATTTTGTAATTGACGGTGTGCTCACATTAAGGTCAGACGACATGTTTCTCAATAATACATATTTTTTTTTACCTAAGATATAATTTTTACCTAAGAACAACTTTCCTCACCAAAAAAATTGGGGTATATTACAAGGCATTTGTGCAAGATACCAGGGGATAATGTTTTCTGTATAATCCCATTAGAAATCTCTTGAATTGTCAATATAACAATTTTTGGTGCATGTATTTATTTTTTAAGACAGTTTGAAAACAGTTTAAAAATCAGAAGAGAATGATAATTATGAATATTATTCTATATAAAGAGATATACAAAACAAATTCATGTCGCCTGAC